GGAAATCATGGTCCGAATGAGACTGAGACTGAAGATTAAAATCAGTCTCATTCAGTTCATTCAGTGATTACTTATATAATCAGAATTTGATAATGATTATTGATAACACTTATGAAACAACTAAATACATTCTTGTACAAGTTTATTCTTCACTTTCTCATGAAAACTACACTTCTCTGATATACTGTGATCAGAGGTATTAAACTGTCTGATAATTCCATGTTTTACAATCATGAGTTTCTTGATTGTTTCTTCTTGTAATTATTCTCAGTGATAGTGATAAATATCTTAACTTGAGTTGAACTTTCACTTCATTCTCACCTCTGTCAATGAAATTGTCAGAATATCATGTGCTATCAGTGCAACAGTTGAATATATACTCTCAACAATTTTTCATAACTCTAGAATTGATTTGATGTGTAAATTCATTGAATCATCTTGAAGATAGCAGTCAAATTCAGTTTTACAAGCATGTAGTTTTGCCTGATTTTCAGTTGCAATCAATGTATACAAGTTCTGTTTCAAAGTTAGTATTATAGTTCTATAGAATATGAAGTGTTATCAAAGATTATTACTTACTAGAGAATTGTATTTCACTGTCTTCACATCTTAAATATCTGCTCATTCAAATCTCTGATAGTTGGCATTGTAGTAGTCTTGAGCTAATTTGATATATGAGTCTTGTTTCTTCTCTGTTCAATCTTGAGAAGTGTAGATATTAACTTGATGAGAGAGATCTAGTAGAGCTACTACAGCATAGTACTCTGCAAAAGATTGTTCAGTTTTACTGTAGTAATATACCAGTTTATCTCTTACAGTAATAATAGCCTGTGCTATAGCATTATCTCAGACTGAATTTCTTTTTAAGTGATTCAACTGCTTCTCAAGATAAGTAAATAAACTGTTATACACTTATCAAGCTGACTGCAGCATTGATGTATAAGTGATTAAGACTGTCTTTGTTATCTTATAAAACTGAAACAGTAAATCAATCACATATTTCAACTGAGTTCACTTCATATCAGAAAGTTTCAATATCTGAATCTTTTCTCAATCAGAGTGTTGCACTCAATGATCAATCATCTGACATAATCAAAGAGTCTGAACAGTCATCTTATATGTTAAACTTCACTGTATTCTACTATTCTGTATCATATTCAGTGATGTGACTGATTTATTTATTTATTAAATATCATGAAATCATTGTTATTATTTAGAGGAGATACAAATTACATTAGCAATGTTTTAAATCTGTGATATTTAAATTATTAGTCAATCTATTCAAAATTAACAGTAGCATTATCAAAAAGTATTATTAAAAAGCAATATCAAAAAGTGTTGTCAAAAAATATTATCTTTTGCAAAGTAGATGCAAAAGTTACTTGAGTAATCTCTTTCATCTCATTCTCATCTCAAGAATCAGTCATCTCATTATTCTTTGTCTCAATGTTAAGATTCTTTATCAGTGTTTGCATCACAAGTTAAACCACATGAGCAATGCAGGGGATATGACCTTGTTTATTATTTCAGAAATGCAAAGCCAATTTTTGCTCTAAGCTCTTCATCATAGTGTAGTTATTCACAGCATTGTCAGTTGTAATTGTAAGAAGACTGAGACTAATATCTTAATAGTCATTTTTAATCACAGTCATTAATATCTCTGTCATATAATTCTCAGTATGACTACTGATCAATAATTCAAATTCAATTAATGTCTCTTGATAAGTCCAGTTCTCATCAATATAATAACATGTAACTCTTATAAATGCAAGATTGTTTGTACTAGTCTATGCATTCACTGTGAGAGACACTCTTCAATGATTCTTCAACTCTGATTCTAGATGTTGTATATTGACTTTGTAGTGTATCTCAAGGTTGAACTGAAGACAGGATTGATGTGAAATATGAAGATTTGAATTAAGCATTTGAAGAAGTGTTCAGAATTCGGGGTTTTCAATTGATTAAAGAGAAAGATTCAGAGATATACACATGCAAAGTAATTATTCACAGAAGTTATCAGATAAGAGTTGTGAAATCAGAGTACTGATACATGATTGTTTTCACATGATTTTCTTCAAATTAGAAAGTTAGTATTATCAAAAATTGTTATCTGATAGAGCAACTTATCAGCTCAGTAGTAATTTTCTGATTATTTTTCTTTTATTATCTGCATTCTGATGACTTCAGATGTCAGAAAATTTCTTCAGAGCTATAATCAGTTCATGATAAATGTTTCTGAATGAAGTTACAGTAATTGTAGCAGAGAGATGACTCTTCAGTAATCTACAATACAACCTGTTGATAATTATTTCATAGATCATCTCAGTGTTTGTGTTGAGTTTTTCATAAATTTCATGACCTGGAATCAGATATGAAGAATGAAGTGATTATTCATCATGACTGAAAGAGAGCATTCTGTGTTGAATTGTAAATAATGTAGACTTTGTAATTCACAGTGATTTCTTAAAGAGTTTATAAATCTTCAATAGAAGTAAAAGAAGTGAAAGAAGTGAATTCAGAAGATATGATAATAATTTAAGAAAGATAATAATTTATTTTCAATAACTGATCACTGATGTGTGTAAGAAGAATTAATATAAGAGAAAATAATCTTGTTTCTTAGCTTAGTTATAATTTTAATACTAACTCAGATTGAATATTATTAATGTATAAAAGTAAACAAATAATCTTGATTAATCTCTGTCATATTTCTTGAAATATATTAATATTGTGAAAGAGAGTGTTATCAAATTATGTTATCAGATAATATCATTAAAAATATATTAATATTATGAATATTAATATTGAAAAAATATTGATACTTATACATTATAGTGATTTGTGAATCATGATAGTTAAACATATATATATATATATATATCATTCCTGACTTGATTACAACTTGTACAATAATTTTTGAAAACTCAAAATCAATTTTAATTATTAATAATTAAAAACTTAAACTTACAACTAACTAATATAAAAAGAAAAAAATCTACTTCTTCTGTTTCTCATTCTTCTTATCATTCTTCATAATTCACTTCTTATTCTTCTTCTTCTTCTTCTGCTTCTTCTTCTTCTTCTCCTTATCTGAGATGATAATCACCTCAAAATCTCTCTTCACTGCCTTCTCAGAAGAGGGTTCTCACTGCTTTCTCTCAGTCAGGTCAACCTGTGCTTCAAAATCCTGCATTTCCTGATCTGCTGTCTCAGATTCCATCTCAGCAGCAAGCAGATTAGCATGCTCAGAGAGCAGAGCTGTCTTCTCAATGTTCTGAATCATGAAGTGCATTTGAGACCTGAATAAGACCTCAATTCTCTTCTTCTCTGCCAGCTTCTGCTAATCAATTAGAGAATAAAAGTGTTACTAAAAATTGTTATCTCTCAATAAATAAAAAACTTATCAGTTTTGACTTCTTTATCTCCTGCTTCAACACTCTCTCAATCTCTTTCTATTACTGCTTATTTATAGTAACACTCTTCTTCTCTCTTTCTCTCTTTATCTTGAACTCAAATCATTCTCAGAACTTCTTCTGATCTCACTGCTGCTATATAAAACTCTTCACTGTCTTCTTCTTCAATCTCTCACAGATAGTGTCATTCACATTATTTCTATACTTAGTTCAGTCTAAATCTATCAGAAGTGTTACTTAAAATCATTATCATTCTACTCTCTTACAGAGCCTCTTCAAGGCATTATAATGTGTCTTGCAATCAGTCTTCTCTCACTTGAACATCTTGTTCTTCTCTCTCTTCAATCTATGACAGCGCTCACGCGCCTTGATGGTCCACAGGACCGCAGAATATTTGAAGAGAGATGACATGATTGATTTCAGTGAGTATTGAAGAGAGATGAAGGTAGAAGAGAGAGCCAGAAATAATATAATAATAATAATAATAATAATGATGATAATGATGATAATGATAGTAAAGATGATGATAATAGTAATGATGATAATAATAATGATGATGATGATGATGATAATAATAATAATAATGAAAGAGAGAGTGCATTGAAATATATTACTGACTTATCAAATATAAAGAGACAAAGAAAATATTAACAGCTTTCAGAGATATATAGAAACAGCTATAGTATTGCATAGCAACATCATCTTCATTTAATACATACAGTGTTGATATTATTTGTATACAGTTATTATATAATCTATATCAGAGATACATGCAGAAAACAGATCTTTATTACTAGAAAGAATAATTGCAGCAATTCTCTGTTTTCATATTATAAAAATAAGTTATTCTCATTTCTTTCTTCTCTCTTTTCTCTTCTTCTTCAACTCATCACTAAATTCAAGCTAGTATGAAAACTATTAAAACACTTCTAGAAACTCTCAAATTGAAGAGTATAGACTAATCAAATTTTAAATACAGAAGAACTAAATTACATTCAATATTACTAACTATTCATTCTCTCTTAATAAAATCACAGTCACATCTTCTCTCTCTTTCTTCAAATGAAACATGGTCTGTGAAAAGCGAGTATCATATCAGATCATAATGATCAACACAGCCTCAGCACACAGAGCTGTATATGCACAGTGCATGCTGAACTGAGAGACTGTGTAAATTGCAAACTAGTATCAGCATCTCAGAGAGAGCTGTGCAGTGTGAGAAAGCTGTAACTCTCAGTTATATATGCAGAGAATGAATCATTGCAGTAAGTACATGTGCATTGCATAAAAGTAATGCTTTTTGATAACACTCAGTCTCTGATATTATGAAAATAGAGTCTCTCTGTGAGATCTGTTTTTATCAGAAGTCAGAGAATCTTATATTTCTCAAGATCATCTTCACCTGCCTTGTCTGTGAAATTGATAAGAAGAATTATCAATTTCAGTGTTCTGCTCTTGATGTCATTCAAGTGACAGCAGAGTTCATCCTGATCACACTTTTTAAGTGTATATTTTCTAAATATTCACATTTATACAGATATATACTGATTATTTATTAGATGATATTAAGACAATGACTTATTACAGCTGTGTTACTCTCACTGTGAGAGATACACAGTTGATAATGAACATTGTAAAGACTCTGAAGAGTGAGTATTTTAAGAGTACTGTGACTCTGCAATCTTGATTTTTTTTATTTTTATTTTTTGTTTTTTTCTTTTTCTTTTCTTTTTTTTTTCATTCATTCTGATTTTTTCTTGTTTTTGTTTTGTTTTTTGTTTTTTGTTTTTTTTTGTATTTTATATTTTTTTCATAATTAAAATTATATGAATTATGATCTGTGTTCAGAAAAGTAATGATATTTGATAACACTCTCTGTTGAATTTTCAACAAATGAGCACTATGTTATAATATTATGTAAGTGAGAAGTGATTTCATAATCTTATTTAATATCATTCTCAATAATGAGATCAGAATGAAAATGTGACTAAGAATTCAAACATATTCTTTATTCAGAACTAGATTTTTATTTGAAAAGTGAATCTGAGATCTTTAATATTTGAAATAATGTGATTTGAGATCAATGTAATGAACACAAATCATGATCAGAAGTAATGCTTTTAGACAATATAATAACTGTAAAGTTTGATCCTGGTCTCAGACACGGTCACACGGTCAGTCTAGTCTTAACTAAACTTGAGAAGATAGCTGACTCTAATTCATCTTGAGTAAGATCAGGTCATTTTCAGTCATTTTCATTAATATAGTTAAGAAGTGATATATTCTCTTTCTCTGAATCTGAATCTGATGAGTTTTGAAAAAGAGTTCTTATAAAAGCTTGACATTTTTTCTCAAAAGAGTTTGCTGTATATGATTCATTCTGAAACTCATATTCTAAGATTGAAAGTTTTGCTACACTTCTTGTTTTAGTATAGTTAAAAGCTTTAAAAACTTCTTTTTCTTATACTTCTTCAAGAAATTTATTTCAGCAGTCTGTTTTAGCTTTTTTAATATCTGAAAAATATTCATTTCTGACAGCTTTAAACTCTTTATCAGAAATTATATCATTCTTTCAATCTCTTCTAGCAGTAGTCAATTATTTTCTTTTAGATATAATATTCTTATTTTATCAAGGTTTTGAATACTCAGAAGACTTTCTCTTTGAAATATTGTCTTTAACACTTAGTAGAATAATAGATGTAATGAGCTTCACTCTATTCTCAAGCATTTCATTTGAAATATCTTGATCAGAATTCTAATACAGCTCACTCTGTCTTTCAGATTTTAACAGTTTTATGCTTTCTTCAACTGCCTTCCAGTCAGCTTTTTCAAAGTTAAACTGATTAGAGAGAAGAGGATTTTCACTCATTTATTTCTTACTCAGTTCAATATCAAATTGAATAATCTCATGACCTGATTCTGATGTCTCATTTGAATCAATAAATCAGTTTACAAGTCTTCTGTGGCGGGCTGCGCCTGATCAATCATATAGACTATTCCGTTACACTCCACAGATTCCACGTACACTCCGATCCTCGGCCATTCTCGATCGCCGATCCTCGGCCGCCACCCTGAGCAATCATATAGACTATTCCGTTACACTTCACAGATTCTACGTACGCTCCGATCCTCGGCCATTCTCGATCGCCACTCCGATTCTCGGCCATTCTCGATCACCGATCCTCGGCTGCTACGAACGCGCATATATTCTTCCGCCCCGAAGCTCCACCGCGTACGCCACCACATACGCGTATAAATATCCACCTCGATCGCTGATTCTCGCACTTTCTCTTTCTTTCCTTCTCTAGCGTTTTTATCTTTGTTATATAAGACCTATAATATTATACTGATCTATTCGGTGTAGGCCTCTTACATCTTCTTTCTATTAGATTTTGTGATATGAAGGTTAGATCTATAATAGATTTCTGTTTCATGCCTTTTCTAAAGAATGTTTGTTAATCAGACTTGTTAACTAAATCTATTGAATGCTCAAAGATTCATTCAATCAGATTATCAGCTCTTACTGCTCTTTTGCATTCTGAATTTTATCAGAGATGATGTGCATTGAAATCTCCTATAATTATAGAGTTTCTTAATGAAGTTATGTTCAGAAACTCTCTATTAATTGTTCAGATGTTATCATTTTTCTTCAATGACTTTTCATTATAGATATTTATGAGCTGTATGATATCAAACTTATTCTCTTTATCTATAATATCATTCACCAGAATATCAGAGTCAGACATGATATCAAATCTTAGATTAAATTAATATCTTGATCTCTTTCTTTCATAGATCACTACTCTTGACTTTATCTCAGACTTTTGAGATAAAAAGCAGTAGTAGCTTGAATGAGAAATAACATATTTTTGCTCAGTATCAAAATTCGGCTTCTGAAGCAGTATAAAATCAACTTTTTATTCAAATGCAATTTAAAGATAAGAATAAATGCAATTTGAGTTTCTATCTACATTATTTTGAATAAATGTGATTTTTGAAGAGTTTTTAAACTTTTTTTGTTGTTTTTATTGTATATTCATACTAAAAGAGAGTAGAGTAGAATCTAATCACTATCATTAGATAGTAGATTATAACTATTCTGAAAAGCAGGAATCTCAACTGCTTGTATTATATCTAGTTTATTATCAGAGTCATTTCTCAATTCTCTAATCTTAACAGAAGTTTGAGAATTCAAATTCTGTTTACATTTAGCTGAAGAATTGAAGTTTGAAGATTTAGATAGTTGAGAGTTTCTTCTTTTTGAGCTTGTAGTTGTGAGTTTACTGACTTGACTATTCTCTTCAGTTCTAGATTTGCTTTCAGCTTCATCTTTTCTTCAGTTCTTTTGAGTTCTTGAAGCAAACATACATTCTTTTGAGCTAGATGCATGTTTTTCTTTGCAATTAGAGCATTTAAGCAGAGTGTGTTGACATATTTCATCTCTTTTTGAGCATGTTTCACATTCATGCTCACTAGTTTTGTGATCTCTGGCACAGAATGCACATTTTGAGTCTCTGAAACAGAACATTGCAAAGTGTTCATATCTTTAACAGTTTGAACACTGTGTTTGAGCTTTGAGATTTATTCTTGAGTCTTTGTATTCATGAACTCTCATTTTCAAACCAACATGTACTGAATTCACGCTCTTGAAAGTGAGTTAGATAAGAAGTCAGAGGAAAAGCCAATCTGAAGTCAGTTAATGATAGATATAATTCATACGGAACTAACTGTAGAAGTAAGACAGTTCATCACTTAGTTATAATCTCAGATATAAGTGACTTATACACTCAATTTTTCTCCATCAATCAAGTTCTTTTGAAACAGAATGAGCTATATTGAAATTCTGGTCAAGATATCTCAAATGAAATGCTTGAGAATAGAGTGAAGCTTATTACATGTATTATTGTAACAAGTGTTAGAGATAATATTTTAAAGAGAAAATCTTCTGAGTATTCAAAACCTTGATGAAATGAGAATATCTCATCTAAAAGAAAAGAATTAGCTACTGCTAGAAGAGATTGAAAGAATGATGTAATATCTGATGAAGAGTTCAAAGCTGTCAGAAATGAATATTTTTCAGATATTAAAAGAGCTAAAACAGACTGCTGGAATAAATTTCTTGAAGAAGCATAAGAGAAGAAAGTTTTTAAAGCTTTTAACTATACTAAAACAAGAAGTGTAGCAAAACTTCCAGCCTTAGAATATGAGTTTCAGAATGAATCATATACAGCAAACTCTTTTGAGGAAAAATGTCAAGCTTTCATGAGAATTCTCTTTCAGAACTCACCAGATTCAGATTCAGATTCAGAGAAAGAGAATATATCACTTCTCAACTACATTGATGAAAATGACTGGGAATGGCCTGATCTTACACAAGATGAATTAGAGTCAGCTATCTTCTCAAGTTCTGT